AGGAGGATGGGACATAGCAGAGGGTGGGGGATGGGGAATCAAGGATGGCAAAACAAAAGGCAAGGTATGCAGGACATAAGAATTGGAAAATTATTTGCTGAGAACATGTATGTTGATGTGCTTGATTGAGCCAATGCACAGTGTATTTTGGATGGAAAATTCATTTGTGTGTTGTGATGGGGTATAGTGAATTAATGTAGAGAATGAATAAATTAAAAAAAAAAAAAAAAGATGTGTGCTCTTCAACTACTTTCTCCCCAAAGCTTTCTGAAATTCGAAATTAAATAAAGTACAGGTTGAATATCCCTTAACTGAAATGCTTGGGACCAGAAGTGTTTCAAATTTTGAATTTTTAAAAACATTTTAGAATATTTACATATACATAATGAGACGTCTTGGGGAACAGAACCCAAACCTAAACCTAAATTCATTTGTTTCCTATATATCTTACACATGTGGCCTAAATGTAATTTTATAAAATACTTTTGCCTTGCAGCATTTGACTGCGACCTGCCACATGAGATCACATGCAGCATTTTCTAATTGTGGCATTGCCTAAGTACTCAAAAAATATCCGATTTTGTTGCATTTCTGATTTCATATGTTTGGGTGAGGGATGGTCAATCTATAAATGTTGAACTTCCCTTCTGGAAAAAAAGTACTCCTGGCAAGTATTCCTGTTGAAATAAAGAAATACAGGGTTTCTTCTTTATAAATATGCCATAACACTTTCTGAAACGGTCCTCAGAATAGAATAATCAAATACGATAATCTGCCCATGCAGCAGAATGGACCGCTACTTTATTGCTTCAAAGGGGTCTATGTGTTTGATCTATGTCTAAAAGAAATCCTTTTGCTGGTAATTAACCAAATTTGATATACTACTTCCTTCCATGAGGACGGTAAGATTACATTTTCTTAAATTTGCCAGAGGACATGTGCACTCCTCGGATAGGGGGAGAAACAGAAAGCGAGAGAGAGAGAGAGAGACAGAGACAGACAGACAGCACTCCCAGAGGGGATGATCACACTGCAATCCCTTCACTTTTCCCTCCTTTTGGATTTTGGGTGTACCTGTACACAAATGCACCTGGCTTGTTTCTCAAGGGGCCAGGCCTGGTACTTAAACTACCCAGTCGGCCATGTGGGATCCAGCTGCCTTAATCACCCTGCCACGGCTGGCCCACATTATTTTTAAAGGGATTCTTCAGTGACTGTCCATCTATAATAAAATCAGCACCAGAATGAACAGTCTCAGTGTGGTGACATGCACTGCTAAGACACTGGGGATCCTCAGACTAGAACCAGAGGGGAGGCGTGGGTTCAGTTCCCATGCATTCCGTGCCACAGGTGTGGCGGCATGCACCTGTAATCCCAGTGACTCGGCGAGGCTCAGGCAGAAGGGTCACCACAGAGTGAAAATCTGTCCTTTAGTTAAAAACAAAAACAAAACCCTAATCCAAAGGTTGAACGAAAATTTTAAATTTAGAAATTCTAAATTATAGCTTTTTATAACCTGTTACATTAGTAATCTACTTGAAAAATTTTATACCCCACGTGTCAATGACAAAAATCCTCTCGAAATGCACCCTTTCTCAGGAAAACCTCTCTTAGCATAGCAGGTAGTACACGTACTTGCCTGGTATATCTCAGAATTCTTCAGTCTACGTTTTGCTTTCTGAAGCTACACCTAATTATTAGACTCGTTAGGAAAATTTTACTATGTTGAATTGTGTTGTTAATATTTTATAGTTTTCATGACAGTGGTCATCTTCCTCTTTTTCTTCACTTTTACAATATTTTGAGATCTAGAAAGCTTTAGGAACAAAACAATATCACATCTTAAAGGAACCAGTTAACTTGTTTAAAAAAAAAAATCTCAGACTATAAACCTCCTGGTTTCAGACAGTTCACTATATTCATTTCTTCCACAGCTAATGATGGGTTCTTCTTCGTGGTGTTCTCTGTGTCTTAGTTCTTCCTGCTTTAAACAACACGAAGGTGATCGGATTGTTCTTCTGCAACACACGGTGAGCGAGAGAGAGCACTTACGTGTTAGAGGCCCGAACAGAACCACATCCAATGCCTTAAGCTGAAGTTTTTGTCTGTGACTCCGGTCACTGATTCTCAGCTGGGAGGTCATAAACGCAACTTCATGCACTGCTATCCTATTTGTTTAAAAAAAAAAACACATATATTAAATAAAAATGTTTCTGTAAATTTAAATATTGAGTAATATATTTGCAAACTTAGCTACAAAAAGTTTGCTACATATAAATAATATAGTCGCTATATTGATACGGTTTTGTTTTTTTTTTTTAAGTTTACTTTCTCCTATGATAAACTATGCTTTAGAAATGTATTAAGTTGAAAACATTTTATAATCATTAATGACCTCTGGCATTTTACTAGCAATTCACATACACACACACACACACACACACACACAATTGTAACTTACTTACTTACTATCAATAAGACTTTAAAAAGAAAGTAATTCTCAATTTAGATCATGTTGCTTTTCTTGAAAAGTATCTTAAAAATCTAAACTTTTACATTCTAATGGTTAAACTATTTACAAGTTGAATAAAACATATTGAAGCTTTCCTATTCACAAGTAGGGGAAAAAAAAAAAAAAACACCTTGGGTTGGGGTGGTGGGAGGGATTCATGCTATAAGAACCAGGAACTTCATTATTAACAAAGGTGGAAGCACACAGGGGCCAAACACACAGGGACAATAAGGAAATAAGCCACTTCATTTCAGACTGCAAATCTAAAACTAAGATTTCTTAATAACCAATATGATGCCAGGAAAGCTCCTCTAACACAAAGTCTAATCATAATAATATAATTAATAACAGTGACAACAAAAACAAGTTAGGATGACCCGCTGAGTCCTGTGCCCATGGTTTATTTAATAACCCAAGAAAATCCTATCACATATACAATAACTCCCTTTCATAGATGAGGAACTTGGGCGAGGTTGAGTAACTCGCCCAGGAGGTTAGGCATGACTCAAATCCAAATACATACGATTCCAAACACTACTCTGAACCACTAGGGATCATTATTCGGGAGGTTATCAATACCTCGGAATATAAAGAAATTGCAGGGAATCCGTTAAGGCGTGTAGAAATAGCTGAGAAAGTAAAGACAAGGAAAGAACAGTCCCTCCTCCAAAGCCTTCCTGGGCCTTCTCCCCAGGTCCCTCTCCTGTGGGTTTTCCTTACACGTTTAGCATGGCACTTACGGAACTGCCTGAAGGCAGAGCACTGCTTCTGTATCTCCAAAACCTAGCAAGGTACCTGGCAAAAGCAGAAGCCTGATACATGTTTGTAGAATGGCCTAATGAATGCATGATGGATGCATGAATGAATGAACAGCAGGACTAACAGCAGACTAAGATGAAGAAAGACAATGAAATGTGGTAAGAAGAAAACTACACAACACATTTTTAAAAATATGAGCAGAGATAGTACTATTCTACCTAAGTGGTGAGGATGACAGGGAAGGCCACAAAAGTCTGAAAAGAATGAGGAGGCCTGTGTCAGGCAGAGAGAGCCTTGGTAAAGTTCTGGTAGTAAAAGCTAAAAGTAGGCCAGCAGGCGACATGGTAGTTAAGGTGCTAAACTCCCATATGGCCAACTGTGGTTCAAATCCCAGACCTGGCAACTAGCCTTTTCATTCTTGCTCTCTCTCTCTGGTAAGCGCACATGCCTGATAGCAAATTAGAAGTAATGATAATAATAATAAATTTAATTAAATAAATCATTCTTTTTAAAAAGATAAGAACTAAGAGTATTGAAAGTATGGTTAAAGGCTTAAGATAAGCATTATAGCTAAAATAAAAGTAAGATAATTTTTTTCCTGTAGTTGATATGAAACAGATACAATAGTGGTTTTTTGTTTGTGTATTTTTTAAGAGAGATTTTTGCTATGGGGGCACATGTATTTGCAGAGACAGACAGAAAGCAAGAAATCACCCCCGGGGGAAACGGCCACACAGCAATCCCTTCTCCTTTGTTCTCTCAAGATTTTGGGCACACACACATGCACATGCACCCAGCCTGAGTTTCAAATTACCGAGTCCGGGACTCGAACCGCAGTTGGCCACATGGGATTACAGTGCCTTAACTACCACACCAACTGCTATCCTCTATAACAGCATTTTAATGTCACAGTAAATAAGTATTATAATAGATTGTGGTAGGCTATCTGGAATGTGTGATACATTTTCTTACACAGTTCATATGACCAGCTTTTTTATCATATGTCTTATCTACAAAAGCTCTGCAACTTACATATTTAAGTAAATGGATACTGCCCCTTTAAGTTGACTGATCTAATTTATATTAAAAAGAGCTTAAAAAAAGAGTATTGCTATTTTCCTTTCTCATTCACTCAAAAATCTCCATTTAGTGGACCTGAAAACTAAATCTCTACATTTATAGGTTTTTTTTCTATAGTAACATATTCACTATTTTTAAAAACTTGATCTTTTTTTTTTTTTGGGAGAGATTTTCACTGTAGGGCGCGTGCGCTCGCCAGACAGACAGAGAGAGATATAGAGACAGAAAGCGAGAAATCACTCCCCCAGGGGGGATGGTCACGCTGCAATCCCTTCTCCTCCATTCTCCTCTCGGGATCTTGGGCACGCACGCACACGCGCCCGGCATGAGTTTTAAGCCACCGGGTCCAGGACGTGAACCGCAGTCGACTACGTGGGAGTCCAGCGACATAGCCATTACGCTAACTGCTGGTTCCCTAAAAACTCGATCTTGACAAGTGTGGGATGCCCTCACAGTTCTATTAAAATTGGAGGCACCTCTAATAACCTTTACTTAACCAAAAGAAGAAAAAAAATATATAGTTCAGTCTATTTTATTTTATGCTGTTACATTAAAAAAAAAAAAAAAAAAAAAAAAGGACATTTCCCAAGTCAGCAGGTGGCATGGAAGTTAAGGTACTGGATCCCTCGTGGCTGTCTGGGTGACTCAAGTCCTGGACCCGGAAGCTCAAGAGTCATGCTGGGTGTGCGTGGGGGTGTGGATGCGTGTGCCCAAAATCCCAGAAGGAGAATGGAGGAAAAGGGATTGTGGTGTGGTCATGCCCCTGGGATGTGATTTCTCACTTTATCTCTCCCTCTCCCCCCCTTCCCCGTATGCGTGTGTCTCTGGCCAGTGCACTCATCCTACAGCAACGTCTAAAAAATTCCCAAAAGACACTTTTTTTTAAAAGGTATAATATTTTTGTAAATACTATAAAAATACTGAGTAACTCAGATCAATGTAACATATATAAGTCAACAAACCCTAATCCTATTTTAATCTACCCTATATTGTTTTAAATTAGGAACTTGCTTTATTTAAAAGTAAGAACCATATTTTACTCAATTTTTGTCTTCTTTCTAGCCTCTAACTGCACCGTGAACATAAACGATTCTCGGTAAGTCCTTGCCCAATTCTCTCTTCTCCCCAGTATCTTGTCATTCTCTTCACATAGATGATGAAATCAGAAATGCCCATGCTGATATTCAGAACACGTTTAAGAGAGGCCTGGGAAGCTTCAACTGGATCCAAAAGACCAACCTCGAACCAATGGCTGCTTACTTCTATAGAGCATGTAAGCAGACTGAATAGGGACACAATCTATTTCCTCACACACAGCATTTAGGCTGTGGGGCCGGCAGGTGGCGTGGTGGGTAAGGGCGCTGGACTCCCACATGGCCAACTGCAGTTCGAGTCCAGACTCAGTGGTTCTCTCTCTCTCGCTCTGTCCCTCTCTGGTCAAATTTAAATAAATAAATAAAGTTAAATAGAATAATTCTTTGTAAAAATCTTAAAAATGCCTATCTTAAAAAATAATAATTAGGCTATAATAACCGACTAGAGTCTGTTTTACATAGGAAACAATGCAGGGAGAATTGAAAGCAATCTTGTAAGTGTGAAGTTCTGGTAGACATCACTGCAAATTTTAACATTTAAAATTTTCAGGATTATAAAATTAACTAATAGAAATAGAGAAAATATAACTAAGAAAACTTAACAACTAGGTCCACACATCTAAGGGGTAAATCAGCCTGCATCGTGGACTCTGATTTCAGACCTATCTAAGGTTAAACGCTGCGCTGAACAAAACGACTAGTCTCCCACTTCGTTTTCTTAACCTGTGACATGAGGATGATAATATATACCCCATTTAGTCAGGAGGCTTAAATAAGTTCATATAAAGTACTTCTGTGTAACGTGCATTTAAAACCCTTGCTCCTGGGGACGGAGAGCAGCCCAGCAGTAGAATACGACACTCTGGGAAGAAGGCCGTGAGGGGAGGCTGCGTTTGCATCCAGAATACGGCGGGCACGTGTGTGCCTTGATCTGGGCTGCCTGAAGTGGGGCGGATCGGGGCAGCGAGACCCTAGTGGGGATGCTGTATCTCTCTCTCTCTCGCTCTCTTTCTCCCTCTCTCGGAATAAAACTTCAAAAAAAAGTTACTACTATTCATTTTTTTATTTACTAAACTTAGTTATTTTAAATTGAGATATAACTTATGGTCACTATAATTCAGTAGCTATTGTTGTCATTAAAAGAATACCAATTAAGAAGGATCTGAACATTAATCCGGTCAAATGGAGGCCTTCGTGAAAATGAGTCAGTTCTGTCAAATGAGTAAGTTCTTGTTAGCTTTGCCAGGTGGTCAGAAAGTGACCCTTTGACGTAACCTAAAAATGACATTGCTGCCTCACTTTCTAATTTTCAAACTTACTTTCTATGGGAATTAAATTTTTTAAAGGCTTAAGTATTTGATAACAAAATTAATCATAACTTGAAAATGCATCCCTTAAGAAAATTAAAGACTGGACATACCTAAACTAGTTCTGTTGTGCTCACGGCCAGAGAAGAAACTTACAGATTCGGCATTGAAAATGACACCTAATAATAATTTCCTACGAATGGAAAATACATTAGATGATAAAGACTCACCTGGGAAGCGTCGTTCCTTTGACATTGTTGTCTCTAAAATTCTTTTCATACTGGGGTAGTTCAACGAATTCGATCAACCACTGCAGAGTATCCTCGAGGGTCCAATTATGAACTGCCAGAGATAAGAGGGGAAGGGCATATCTTAAACAAACCTGCTCTCAAGATTAAAACGTATTCACACACACACGATAATGTCAGAAGAACTACAGGTGTGAGGTGGAACTTTCAATTCAATCTACTCGACAATGAGGGCTAGAATGATAACGAGCTCTCTACTGGGAGGGCTAAGAACAGCAAGGAACATACTCCAGGCCTAGGGTACAACCTAAAACAGAAGAGACCAAAGCCGTTAGGATACATTTGCATAACGAATTCTAACATCGGCATCCACACAAAGTTGATAGAGGATGAGACAATCCATCCCTTCCTGAGGGTGGAAAACATGCCAGGTGCACACTCGTCCATTCTTTCCTCTGGCTAACCCCCACACATACACAAAGTTCCCCCTGGCAGGCCCCACCCTGAGCACTGGGCACGTGTCAGCGACAAGACGGGCCAAGGGCCTGCTCTGGGGGAACTGAAATTCCGCTGGGCTTGGGAAGGACAACTTATGAAAGAAGGAAGAAAAGGGAGGGAAATTTCAGGTAGGGATTAGCTCCTAAGAGAAGAAGGGAAGCTGTCGACGTATGCCTCTCTGACAACTGACATCTGAGTCCTAAAAGTCATAAGAAGCCACGCTGGGAAGATCTGGAAGAAAAACACTCCAGAAGGAAAAGTTAGTTTGATAGCTTTTAGCTAGGCATAAACTAACTGTGTTTGAATAATAGGAAGAAAGACTAAAAGAAGCCAGATCATCAAAGACTTTTAAGAAGTCTAAATAATTTAAATTAAAAGGATGAAAAAAATCACTTGTTTTAAAAATATCGCTCTTTAATACGTAACACAGACTGTATAGAATAAGGCTAGGAAAAAGGGGGACCAGCAGTTGACGAAGTAGCTATGTCACTGGACTCCCATGAAGCAGACCACGGTTTGAGTCCCGGACCCAGTGGCTTAAATTCACCCTGGGTGCGTGTGCATGTGTGCCCAATATCCTGAGAGGAGAATGGAGGAGAAGGGATTGCGGTGTGAGCATCTCCCCTGGGGGGTGATTTCTCCCTTTCTGTCTATCTGTCTCTTTCTGGTGAGTACACACACCCTAGAGCAAAAACCTCTCCAAAAAAAAAAAAAGACTGGAAGCAGGAAAAACTAGAGACTCTTCCTTCCCTAACTGTCCAGGCAGAAGCGATCACAGGCCTGGATGGAGACAAGTAGGTTGGATTTAGGATGCACTTTGGGATGACGCTAGTAAGAAGTGCTGATAAAATGGGACCGGTAGCTGGGGAAGTCAGACCTTCGCAGGGTGCTGCCTTAACTGAGATAGAAGAGTGGGGAGGAGTGGACTGGGGAAACCAGTGGAGGCAGGTGACAGAGGTCAACTCTTGGTTCTGGTTTCAGACCTGCTGTGTTCCAAGTCTGTATCAGACTCTGAGTACAGAACATTCCGCAGCAGTCAGATAGAGGTCTGGAGCTTAGGGGAAAGCAAAGGTAGGGATAGAGATATTAATGGAGACTCATCAACACACAGAGATCTTTAGTCAGAATGAGCCTGACCTGGGACCAGCAGGTACTGTAGTGGTTAAGGTGCTGAACTCTGACATGGTCGACCACAGTTTGAGTCCCGAACCCGAAGGCTTGAAACTCATGCTGGGTGCATGTGCTTGCGTGCCCAAAATCCCAAGAGGAGAATGGAGAAGGGATTGCGGTGTGGCCATCTCCACTGGGGAGTGATCTCTCTCTCTCTCTGTCTCTCCAGGAAGTTCACATAACCTATAACAAAAATCTCTCTCAAAAAAAAAAATATATATGTGTGTGTGTGTGTGTGTAATATAACAGGAAAAAAAATTAAAAAGAATGAAAGAATGAGCTTGCCAAGAACAGCAAAGATTACTCTAACAGATTCTAGGTGACTCAACCGAACTCATGAACAAAATGATAACATCTCTTCTTCTGGGAACATACTTTTAATTAAGCCCTCTATACATATTTTCTTCTTTAAGCCTTTATACAAATGAACAAAAACAAAAAAGACTTACAAGGCACCAACGTAATTATCTCTATTTGAAGATGAGAAATTAAGTTAACGGGACCAAGTCAGCCGGGCTGGACTTGAACGCGGTGAAACTCTGAAAGCAGCAGTGTTGAAGAAGGCAAGGTCAGAGACCAGCAGTCACCCCCTGGGACGCACAGGTCCAGTCCGGAGAGTGTGAGTGGTAACGAGGGGCTCAGCAAAACAAAAGAGACCGAGTGCAGTCCACGTCCTGCATTAACTGAGAGGCTCGGAGAACACACGCTGCTTACAGGCCAACGAGACGTCAGAGGAGAGTGAAGAGCACACGTTAGTAAGAAAAGCAGGTCTGGAAACCCATCTGTATAAACGGACCTGAGAAAAGATCTTTCTGATCTACCACAGAAAACTATGAATTCACATTTGCAAGCAGAACTAGGATTTCACAACCTGCCTTCTTCATAACTGTCCTTCAGAGAAAAGGCTTAAATGAATCACAACCCAGGAACACTTCATCTAAAAACTTGACATGGTGACTGAAAACCTTATACTGAGGCAAAGCAATGAGCACTTTCTAATGTTCTCTTTCACGTGTTCCTGCCATAGAGCCCAGACAGGAGCCTGAGGCAGCTGAATCCAGTTAGCCAAATCACAGGGTGACAGCCAAGGGTCAGGCCTGGGAGCTCTCCACTGAATTTAATGCATGCAAAAGCAGCCTCTATGCTGAAGTTTCTCCCCATTCAAGAAGAACAGTACTAAGTACTGCCTTGTCCTGACGGCCCAGAAACCCACGGTGCAGCTGCATCTCACACACCCACGCGAAGACCTGAGCCAAGAAAACAGGACAAGATTCCCTCTGTCGGGTCTCTGCCTGTTCAGTAGTCAAAGTCCCTATCTGAATACTTGAGCAAATCGAAAAGTCCCTCAACTCCCATCGAGCCTGCATAGAAAGGAAGAAACATCAAATGAAAGAGAATGCACTGCCCAGACCCTGTCTACTCTCCTAGCAAATAAAAAAATCGTGGTCAGTTTACAGTTAATCTTCTTGACAATTTTTAAAACAATGCACATTCCTACCACAGAACACAGCTTTCTTTGGGAAGAGGGTCGCCCCCCCTCCTCTGCTGTCTGATTTCTTTGGTGATGCCTCTCAGGACGTGCATCTGACACTTGCTTTCTGGGCCCCACTCAGGCGCCTTTCAGTTCCTAGGGCAGATCACAGTCTGTCCTCCCTCGGGGCCTGGCTACACGCTCCTTCCTTTTTCCTCTTTCTCCATCCCTCTGCCTCAACTGACTGATTTATTTTACTAAACCTTCACAGCCTAGCTAAAACTTTGAATTCCTCAGGTGAGCCTTCCCATACATGGATTTCGTCATAAATCATTCTGCACTTTCTACAAATTTAACTAATGTGCATGACTACTCTTCTAATATCTTTATTCCACTAAGGTTTGAATTTCTTGCTGACCACCCTCTCTCCATCGCCAGATCCCCTTGGCACACAGACACCCAGCAAGTTATTTGCTGACTGCTGATGAGTAAATGATGCAGAACTTGTTTAATGGATAAATATTTCAAAAACCTATTGCATTTTAGCGGGGAGACTCACACAGAAAGAGGTTGGTCTGTGTAAGCAACTCCAGATGATAACAACATCACTCATTTAAGAGTCACCTGGCCCCTCACCGCGCACCTCTCACTGGTCCTTCACGGGTCCTCCTTAAGGAGCTCTTCCACCAGGGGGCAGGCAGAGATGACAAGGTATTCCTTTTGAAATATAATTCCCCAAATCGCAGAGCTATAAACATACCAGTTCCTGCACTGCTAACGTCCATTGTGACTGGCTGAAACCGGGAGTAATGCTTACATGTTGACGTCTGAGAACGATCTTTGGCCCCTTATTCCAAGACCTATAGAAAGAAGACCTCTAGAAACAGGACTGTTTCTAGTCCCAGCTGTACTGCTGATTCGGGGACACCGTAGCAGGTTAGGTAACTGTGGCTCGGTTCCCTAACACACAAAGTAATGACACTGAGCTTCGCCACCTTTAAAATTCACTCGAAGTCTATGCGTTTTCGTAACAAACAAGAACTGCGTTGAAAACACTGCTGGCTAAACTGTTAGCCTAGAACAGTAGATTACAGACTGAGAGGGCAACGGTGACCCTAAGAACTTTCAGGACGGGGCTGAGGGGACCTGCTCCCAATGTTTATTATGTACTTATTAAATTCCAGGAGATTTACAAATGTTATGTCATTCGACGACCCTTTGAAGTAGGCACTTTTATAATCACATTGGAGTAGAAGTTTATGGAGGCAAAGTTCTTAATTAAGTATAACACCTAAGTAAACGGTCAAAGCAGATCTGCGCCCGAGCCGACTACAGTCGTTAATGCTCTGCAGGAACGCTGCCTCTCCGAGGAAACTGCGTGGTGCTGACCACCAATGAGACTGCAGACAAGCATGGTCTGGTCATGCATGCAGCTATACTTGCAGCTTCCTGGAAGCGCTGCATTCCCCATGCCGCTCCTTCGATGTGGCATGGCTTTCCTCCTTCCTTCTTGGTCAGTCTTGCTCTTCCTTCGCCTTTAAGACCCAGATCAAGAACTCCCTCCTCCACCAAGTTTTCCCTGTCCACCACTTCTTTGTGCCCCATGGTCACCTGTACACGTGGCCATAGGACTTACTGTATATGAAAAAGCAGCTGCCAGCGCCCGCCTGCCTCTGGATGATGCATTCCTGGAGGACGAGAACTTGCCCTTTACCTAACGCAGACCACTAACACTGAAACGCATGTTCCCGGGGAATAAGCCACTTCCCATTTTCTGACGCACTTTCACATGCACTCTCATTTAACTCCCATAGCCACTTCTGAGAGACAGCTGTTATCCCTACATTCTACAGAGACAGTCGTGGCCCAGAGACGCCCAGGGATGCTGCATGTGTCACGCAGGTCATGGCCGAGAGAGCCAGAAACTGAACCTTAACCTCTGACACCAAGCCATC